TTGCGCGCAGATCCTGTCGTTTCGTAGGTTCTTCAATTAAATTTTTGGTAGAAAATTTTCTCATAATTACTCATAGAATAAGCGTTTTCTCATAAATACTCGTAAAATACAATAAAAAAAAGTTTTTCTATATTATTTTTTCATAATTTTTAAGATTTTCTCTAGTGAGATTCGAACTTGAACCGAAGACATCTTTTGAATAATCGTCCGTCGCCTTAAGCCCGTATCAGACTACCGACTGCACAGGCCGACCCGACTGCCGACTACGACTGCCGACTCTCAATGGACCAATCACAATGAGACACCGAGTCGGCGCCTTACTGTGATTGGTCCATTGAGAGTCGGCAGTCGGTAGTCTGATACGGGCTTTAGACACTACGCCAATTCCTCACTTGATAAAAAGTGCTTTGTATTGCTCACTTAAAGTTTAAAAAAAAAAATCTTAGAGTTTGTTTGCCTTTTAAACCGCAAAATATAGACGAAACCGTTTAGAGTGTAAATAATGTAAGAGAGACTGGCACGATAATTAGAAATTAATTTTCTACCAAGGACTGTATATAAAATTACTGCAATAAAACAGCAGATAATGACATTTTTCCATTATGTTAATAAAATATTGTACTTTTACATGGGGAGCGGTGCACTTGGACACGGTGCATTTGGACACAGCCAATCACAGCACCGTATGATTAGAGACATTTGTAGGGTCCCTTGGAACAGCGACTTGTGATTGGACTGTGTCCAATTGCCCCGTGTCCAACTGATATACACCCTTTTACATGTGCGAATTAATTTGGTCAATCGTCCAGTTCAGATTGTATTAAGTTTTATCAAAATCAAAGCATGATATATCTTCAAATAAACCATCACAGAAATTCTGTAAAAGTTATTTACATAGCGAGACTAATATTTTATTCGGTGCTGCTGCCTTCAGTACTTATTGCATGACGTTCAGATTTAATGACATAATAACATTAAAAAAATAATAATATGAGAAATTGTATGAAAAATTATGAGAACAATTTTTACCAGGGATGGCACATGTACGCCTTTAAATGGCCATTAACCATTGTACTATTCTATATTTGTACTCGTTATTTCTCTATTATTATTGCTTTTTTATAAAAAATATGTAATATAATTTTAAAAACTAAAAATTGTTTTTTATTGTGTATATGTGTACAATTATTGCACAATATAATTATCTTGACTCCTCTGCAGCAGTTTTACATGATGTGTATGTGAAACTGCCCCATTTAATAACGTACATATGGCCGTTGATAGAATTAAATAGCCTATTTAGGAAACAGAATCTGCGCGCAATCTGCCGTCAGTCTGTCGTCAGAGTCTGTCGACAGGCTCTGCGCGCAGTCTGTCACCAACCTGTTGTCAGAACAGATTCTGCGTACAATCTGTTGCCATTCTGTCTACATACACTGTTGACAGACTTTGCGTAAAATCTGCTCACGCAGTTTTGGCTATCTGAGTTAAAATATCTACACTTTGTTTAAGTTAACATGTATTTTTTGTTATGTAGTTTTTGTTTTTGTTTTGATATTTTTTATTTGGTACTTTTTCTTTTGATACTTTTTTTTATACGTACTCGGTGTCTTTTTTTCTTTTGTAAAGACTGTTTGTTATGATATCCTTCTTCCGTCTGCTGAAGGGGACCGAAGTGATCTACGTATATTTGTTCCAACGGTAAACTCGGAGTAAGATCGATCTGCATTTCATCTTCTCTCGCTCTAGTCGAAGAGTTGGCAATTACGCACGTCAAACAATTTTCTACGTGGTCGAAAATTCGCTTACGCATAGAGGAGAACCAATAAGTTTCGCTAATTTCTTTGCACATTTTCTCTATACCACAATAAGCCATATCATCGTGATATGCTCTTATAATATTAGAGACCACCGTATCTGGGACTACAAATCTGGAACGATCTGTCCCTTTTCTATAAACCAGACCGTTAATTCGAATTTTTTGTTCGCCGTAAACTAACTTCTGCGCTATTTCTTTAATGTACGTATCTCGCAACTGTTTAAAGGATAATGCCACTCTAGCTCCCGGAAGAACAGCCTAATTTTGATAATTTTTTATAGGAATATAGTGAACGGAATACACAATCTATTTAAAGTCTTTATTGTACATACTTTGAAGTGTATACATAAATTTTATTCAATTTTTTTTACAAAAAGGCGGCCATTAAAATTGTGACCATTATCTAATGTGAGTGCTTGTACCACATTTATATCTTTAGTAAGATTTTTAATTGATCTCTCATTTAGTCTTGTAATCGGCCTTCTGCTTGTCTGACCTACGTAAAAGGCATCGCAGTCTTTACAATTAATTTTGTAAACAGCATTGCACTTGTCAGTGTACTTTAACCTATCCTTGTGATTTCTAATAAAAATATTTAATTTGTTATAAGAATAAAAAGATATTTTATAGTCCGTTGATAAAACAATATTCCTAAGTTGGTCAAAAATACCTTTAATATAAAGGAAAGTCATGAAACTTTTTTTGGTTTTAACCTCATTAGATGCATATTCCTTTTCATTAATAAGTTTAATTAATCTACGATTTATAGTATCAAAGATAAATTGTAACGGGTAACCATTTTTTAATAAAATATTTATAACAAAGTTAAGATTTTCCTCGTGGAACGACGGGTGACAAATCAAATACTCGACCTACAAAGTTAAGGCTCCTGAGGAGTCGCATCATCCATCTCTTTTTAATGACGTCATAAGCGAGAAAACACATGCTAAAAATTTTTGCAAAATACGTCGAGATAAACAAATATATTCACAAAACAACATTTGCGATAGATTAAATACACCTCTAAAATACTCCGTACACTTTCCTTTTATTCTAAAAATCAATAGATAATCGGAAAATTGATATGACAAGATAATGAGGAAATTAGGTTAGAAAAGACGATTGCACGTCATATTTATTTTATAATTATCTGTTGATTGTTAGAACAAAAAGAAAGTGTACGGAGTATTTTAGAGGTGTACTTAATCGATCGCAAATGTCGTTTTGTGGATATATCTGTTTATCTCCTACTTTGCAGGAATTTTTAACATGTTTTCTCGCTTCTGACGTCATTAAAAAGAGATGGATGATGCGACTCCTCAAGAGTCTTAACAATTGCGCCTTTCTTTTGGCAAACAGAGTGATGTGAGAAATAATTAAGAAATCTTCCTTTGAATAGGTTGGTTTACGATGCCAATTAATCATTAGGTGATCGTTATTATTAATAAGTCATCCAGGAAATGAAATTTTTTAGCAATTATCTCAACTATAAATTACAACCTTTTATGGAACTAACTGAAAGTCTCAATAACATAGTTGATAGAGTTGGAAAGTGCTGCGCAAGCTATATCATCCACATATCTATAATAGAAGAGCATGTGGAAATTAAGTTTTGAGATTGCTTTTGTTTCCAAACTTCTTATCATGTGTGCCAAAATCGGGTAAAGAGAAAAACCCATTAGAAAACCCATTCCTGAAAACCTGTTTGTAAATGACATTATTGAAAACGAAAAATGTGAAATCCAATATGAATGAAATCGCCGCGATAAATTCATTTAACGGGATTTTTGTAATCATCACCTTTTTCTAATACCATTAATGACTAACTCTTTAGATACATTTGTAAATAGGGAAATTATGTCTAAAGATAACAAATCAAAACCTAGGGGAAGATATTTAGCATGTAGGAAAGAAATTTTCTGATTCGTAGAACTAAGTTTCAGATATAAAAGTAAGAAATTCTGTGTCCTTCAACGAAAATGCGTTGCTTTATGTATATACATTAAAATCGAACTTTATATTAATAAAACTAAATTTTTTCTCCGTGTCTAATTGTATAAATGGATGACTATGCGCGATATGTAATAATCCTATTTTGTAAGGAGTCTGTACTTATTAATATACTTTTTTATTATATTAATGTAAATTTAAATTTATATATTAATGTAAATTTAAATTTACTCTTATTTTCATTATAAAAAAGATAGTTATAACATATTACGGTTTATGTAATATCGTATAACATATACGTACGTACAAATATTTTATATCTATTATTTATTTTTCGCTTACTATATTAATGGACGGCTGTGCGATATGTAATAATCTCATTTTAGAAAATGTTATTATGAACATGTTAAGATAAATTTATATTATTGTATACAAGACTATATTAACCTTTTAAATGCAGACTTCAAAGCTAAATGATCGCTAAGGATGGAATATTTGGACGATCATAATTAAGCGATCAAAAGAAGAATGATTTCTTAAAAAATTGAAAATAGGAGACCGAGGCAAATTAAACGTTATTAAAACGTGTAAAAAAACAATTGTACATCATAATGTGTCCCGGTCATAATGTATCGGCTCAGTTAATAATTGCTGCTTCTGTTGCGAGAGTACAAGCCGAATAAATTTCTAAAACGCATAGATACGCTCACAGTACTTAAAAAATTAATGATATTCATATATAATACTTATATACATTTAACGTAAGTTAAATGATATTCATATATAATACTTATATACATTTAACGTAAGTTAAAGTACATCTTTATAAGAAAATATACTATATATATACTTTATGTATATACTATATATCGCTTATTTGCTGCAACAATGACAACTAAGAAATTACGATTTTTCAAAATAATGTTATCAATAAAAAAATTTAAATGGAAATCGTTCTTTTTATAGTAATAACTAAAAAATGCTAAAATTTTCATTTGTTATTGTTGTAGCAAATAAGCGATCTAAAATTAAAAAAGCGATCTGAACTAAAAAATTATGATTTTTCAAAAGCTGTTATTAATAAAAAATATAAACGGAAATCGTCTCTTTTATAGTAATAATTTAAAAAATGTTAAAATTTTTATTTATATCATTGTTGCAGCAAATGAATAATATATACTATATTAATATAATACACATAAAAATATATTAAAAAATAAAATTAAATGTATTAAAATTGGAAGTGTTATAATTTTCAAAAACTTGACATCATATCTTAAATAATTAAGCTAATGTATATGTCAATGTGAATTTTAGTTTCTAAAAAATATAAATGAACACATATCCTAATACATATTCATATATAATCTAAATCAGTGCCCGCAATTATTTCCACATTTCGGGCAGATTTCAGAGATAACGTCTACTACTCCTCTCCGCAGCCGCTCCCCGCTCGACTCGAAATTTTAACAATAGATTTACACATCATCCATGAGGTACTATTGTTGATGCGTTTTTTTAAGTGGTTTCCCCAGTTGGTCTATTGCACTATCAAGATGATGAAATATATGTTGGCTCAGCAGGAAAACACAAAATTTTATATCATAAAATATTAATTTGCTATTCATTCTCCAGATATTTTCAGTTGCAAGATAATATCGAAGCAGAGCACTCTCATTATTAACAAATATACTTTTTTTAAGATATCAATGTTTAAATTTCTGTAATCTCACATGAGAACTTTAACGCTCAATGGATATACAGTTACAAATAAAAATGTATTTATTTATAAAAATAGAAATTATTGGGGAAGAAAAATATTTTGATAATAATTTAATAGATCGATGATACGATCTTGAGGCCAAACATCTCACGCGCGATCGGCAGCCTAGCCGTCGAGCGGGAAGCGGCTGCGGGGGGAGTAGTAGGCGTTGCCTCTGAAATCTGCCCAAAATGTGGAAATAATTCCAGGCACTGATCTAAATCAGTAAAATGATGTCATAATCTTCAATAATTAATACGTGTGGAATAATTCATTTTCTCTTTGCGTTGAGAGTGCAAGAAAGTCTTTGTAATTACATAATTTTAAAAAGTAAATGAGATTCTATGAATAAAATATCTAGTGTCAGTTTCAAGACGTAAAATAGTGTACAGCAATTCCTGAAGACACAAGCAGCATCGAAATAGCGATACTTCCTGCACTATTACATCTATGATCAAAATAACAGAAACACCAAGTAACCTCATCGTAATAGTCACGATGTATATCCAACTGATGAATACTATTATTGACATAATGCCCTAATCGTACATCTTTAGCAGCAGGCCTACAACCTTCATAATGATCAGCAGGAATATCTGTTCTGAAGCTACGTACAGAGCTTAGACATTCACGTGTGATGATTGTTTCAGCTGAAAAAAATTTCACAATAATATAAGTTTATGTAATTTTATCAAAATAAACTTACTTCCGAAAAAAGGAATTCTCGATTACTATAAAAATGATAAAAATGTCCCAAATAATCCTATATGTGCCGTACGACTAATTAAGTTCTTTTTTAATATAGATGAATGTACCATCTTTAGAATCCCGACGAATATCTTTCCAGGAACTAGGTTCCTGAGACGTCGGAAGCCTAGAAATGGTGTGCTCGTCTATACTAACCTACTCCCAAAAGGGACTTAATTAATGAACAGCAGTGTGACAGAAACTGTGAACAGAAGCATTTCTGTCAAAAAAAATCTTTAAAGCTTATTTTGATCCTTAAAAATATTTTATTTGAGGTTAGAAATTCTGTCATATAGAATATTCTGGTTCAGAATATTTATATTTTATAGTATATTATATAATAATTTTTATTATAGTATATTATATAATAAATATATAGTAGTTTATTATAGTATATTTTATAATATACTATATATAATTTGTATTACACATAGTTATTATCTATATGCATACCACATCTCTTGTAATTAAATAACCAACATATATATGTTTTGCACATATTATGCACATATGAATATATTTCTATACAAAATATATTAACATCAAAAGAATCAATAAGAAGTTACTAATTTAATCTAAACCAACTGTGAATATATAGCTTCAATTTTGCTTACGACAAAAATCTTATATTTAGAACTATTTTGGACAATTTTATCAAATCTTATAACAATCAGAGATGGAAACATTTAGCAGGATTTTCCATGAAATTAATCAGAAATAGTAAAATATTATCTTGTAAGTAACATAAATATCCTTACAAAAAAGATACAAAAAAACTGTCAATTTTAGATGTTAACACTCAAATTTAGGTGTTTATTCCCAGTTTTTGGGTGTTTACACCCAAAATTGAGGGTTTTTTGTAATGGTATAGTTACCTCCTTTACGTTCAAGTATCTTCACACACTTGTCGTCATATTCTGGACAGGTTTCTCCCCAATACCATAACCAATTTAAAGGTGTCCCACATCCAGGATTATTACTATTACATCTATAACAGTACAGGCTGCTTCCTGCAGTCAATTTGAATATTATTAACTCAAAGTAACAAAGTAACACGTTTCAAAGTGACAAAGCCACACCCTTTTCCTCAAAGTAAAATACTATACCTTGGCATACTAAGATACTCCAGAGCAAAATTGTGAGGTATATTTTTCTCGTCATTATCACAGTGAAATATTAGCACTTGATTTGCTACTTTATGTATGTTTGTTTATATTCGTCTGGCACACTGATGTTGCACGGCAAACTCCCACACTACGTAAACCTGCCGAGAAATACAGGAATGACACACCAGACACAACTCGTGACATCATTTGGTAATAGCCATAGACGTAGCATATATAGACTGCGTCTTTTCAATATTTCCTATAGCTTGAACTAGAGAGTCTCATAGTGAGAGAGTGACAAACTCTATAACGTGACACCTCTCTTCTGATTGGTTGCACCCCATGGGGTGCGTTCAGATTCCCTACCCGGATGTTCTCTGTTACTAGAAACACTATAGAATATGTTACATATAAGGTTTGTTTGAGTTGCTTGTACTTTTCACACTTTTACACCTAATGCTCGTTGCACACTAGTGCACCTCAAACAACACAAATTTTCCAAAATACATTCTGAAGACATTTTCAGGACGGAGGGACGTCATCAAAGTATTCTTAGGACGTTCTTTGAAGATGTGAATAGTCTGAAAATAACTAATATCCAATAAGTTTATTCGTATTAATTGAACTTTTTACACTTTCACACTTAGTGCACATTAATTCTTTAGAAGTCTAAAAATGGCGTCATGTTTTCCGTGTTAGGGCCATCACACACAAAATTACATAGCGCATATGCATAGCATAAGATCATATAGACCAATGAGCATTGAATATTAAGTCGCCATATTGATGATTGATACTTAATATTCGATGCTCATTGGTCCATACTATCTTATGCTATGCATATGCGTCTATGTAATTTTGTGTGTGATGGCCTTTACGTTTACGATACTGTTGGAAACAATTGCTACAATCTTTGTGGCCAGAGGGACGGTCATGAATCTTTTCACCTAAAGTGAACTCGTGAAAAGTGAAAAATCTAACCTTGAAAATATATGGAAATGTACACTTTTCACAAGTTTACATTGGAGGAAAGGATTTACGATCGCATTCAAGTACTGCAAAACAATTCACTTCTCATAGTTTCACATACTAAAAATATTAAAAATATTAAATAATTAAGAAAATCCAGAGTTCTCATGTAAAAATATTCATGATTGATGCCTTGCTCCTTGATGTACTTAAGCAATCATATTGTTCCTGTGGATAAAAGACAGAGCAGAGCAAGAGCAGCCATAGAATATATTAGTTACAGATGGGAATATGTACTATTCTTTCGGATCTAGTTCTTACTCGCTCTGCGCTTGATATCGTAAGCAACCTAAGACACTTCTTGTATTAGAATGCACCCGGGTAAGGAATCTGAACGCAGCCATGGATGTGGGAATATGAGGATAGTGCGTAAGCTGAGTTTATCGGCAAGAGGGGTAAAGCCGATTTGAGGGACGAAGTATCTCTAAAACTGTACCTGAATTTGATTGGTTGAGTTGTACTCATGCGCAGTACCACTAATAAACGAAATATTAAGAACATGAACATATTTCCATAATGGCTTCGGCCATTCAGTTTTGTCAATCGCTGTTCGTTCGCACTAAAGAGGGGCGAAAGTCAGTCCGTCTTATAACTTTCGATTTGTTTCGCGCTCGCGAGTGGGATTCTGCGCAGAATTTCGCGATTGCTCGGAGCGGCTATATTTGTGAATTGTGCAATTTTCGTTAGTGGTGTCCTGTGGCGAAGTTCCGCGGCGTCTCGACGATCGCGTTGCGACGTTGTCGCAAAAGAGTCGACGGTCACCGCGTAACAAGATATCCGTCGGCCGGGCATCCGTCGGATGCTCTCCAAGATTTCCGTCGCGGTTGTGTGACCAACTGAGCGACTCTCCGAAGATTTCCGTTCTAAATCGCGATCGAATCGAGATTGCCTCGGTGTGAACTCGTTGACTATGTAAAATAAAGTGAATCACTAAGCCATAACGAGTCAGTTAATCAATGATTTCGCCTCTCTTTCCTCACTTCATCGGACTTCGTGCGAGGTCGATCCATCACGCGGAATTCACTCTCCGAATCGGAGCGAATTCGCTACAATCAGAAATATTTTTAAGATGTTGCATTAATCTCAAATAAGTATTAAAATAACATTTGAAAAATATTTTTTGTAATGTTTTTGAAACGTTTAAACAACATTCAGAAAAATTATATCATAAAATAACATGTGAAAAATATAAATGCAATATTATTAAAAAATGTTCAAACATTGCACATGAAGCCAACGTTTCTAAACGTTAATTTTTTATGATGATAGTAGAAACGGGCTGCATTTCTGTATTCATAGTAATAAAGAACAATAATTATTTGAAATAGGCGCAAAAAATCGGCTCTTCTCAAGGCCATCAAATTTTATAACGATGAAACAATACTCGAACGCATAAAATATGAAATAATTATTTCTCGCGTGTTTATGCAACACTAAAATTAAAAATACTCTACTTCGACAACCTATACAAGCACTGTATTGTTGCAGTATTCTATACTGAAATAAATCCAATTTTTTTTTTTCAAGAGCAGTTATTAAGAAGCACTTGTCGAAGTCTCCTGAGAACCCTTCCCCAAGATCTTTTTTTACATTACAGTAATTTCCTTGCTAACAAGAAAAAAATACATGGACGTTCGAGTGAGCGAAACAGTTGTTGGGACACCGCGTATTGCTCACGTATAGACGCGACAGTGTGAGTCGAGCATTTTTTTATGCGTCACACGTATTTTAAGACGGCATTTCTGTCCACGACGTCTTATAATGTTATTTCTCTCGCTCTTACCTCTACGATAGAGAATGGAAGATCGCCGCGTCTCCCACTACTATTCTCTCTTCAAGCGTCCGACGATCGTATACCGCTAGCCCCCTCTGCCACACCGTGCTGCTCGTGCCTCACCTACAGGCAGCAGTGAGTGAGTGACGCGTCATCGTGTGCGAGTCACACAGATTTACGGACGGCATTAACGCCGGTGCGTATACACATAGCAGTCCTAATCTCACATTATCTGTTCTTAGCTACACCAGTGCAGTAGTGTAGCTGAAAAGAGTCAATTATGAGTTAGAGTGAAATAGTGTACGTCTTTCTTCCTCGCAGGATTTATTTAACATAAACGGGCGGACCTCGTGTCCAGGGCCTCTGTTACAGAGTCACCATTTCAGCTTAAAGACCCTCAAACAGAGGCTGACTATGCTAGAGAATATGGCTTGAAAAATGGCGGCGATGAATATGTGTGAGCCATTGATCTCTAACTATACTTGATAATGCAGGCCTTTGTTCTCGAGCGGTCCGAAAGAGATAGTTGAGTGAGGACGGTATACCCTTGTCTAACCAACTCGAGGTACCACGTGACTCAATGTACAACCCACTCTAAAAACATTAATTTCCCCACACATTTCCCATACATCGTATATTTATATATAATATATATAAGAGAAAATAAATGACACCATTTCTTTAGATAACGTATACTAGCAGCGATAGCAGTTTTATCGTATCGAATAACGAGTAGTACTGGTCAGTTCGTACTCACATTTCGAAACTGATGTTTTTAGTCACGGTGATTTACGCTTGAAAGAGACAACTACGTTCCAATTCGACTATTTCTTTCTGACCGTTTGGTACCGTGGAGGGGGTAGGCAGTGAGCCTTCCAGTATGGTTATAATTCAATAGTGTGAGCTGGTGAGTGAATGCGTAATCTATTAAATGTGCGTGTGTATCGTACGATGTGCACAACTCCGTATTGGTATTGCCATTTTTCGGACTATCATTCCGTGCGCTAATCACGCGAAGACCCCCAATGTCCAGTCTCTGTTTGAGGATCTCTATTTCAACTGAAATTGAAACCAGACCCCTCTCCGTTTTCTCTCTAGCCTACTCATTTCATTCGTGTACTTACAAGGAAACTCACACAAGTGTCCGTCTCCGATTTTCATGAACTTGTAATATGTTGTACTTTAGATAAAAATAACAGAAACGTTTTTTATTATATGTGCTCTTTCATAAGTTTAGGGGGTAACATACTCCTTTGAAAAAAATCGGTTTCTTTCATTCGAAGGGAATATAATGAAAATAATAAGGGATAGAAAAAATATTTTTAATAAAAGTTGAATAGTTTGAAGAGTACTTCATAGAAATTATTAAAAATTTTTTTTTGTTAATATAATAATAAAATTTTGTTTTATTTTTTCAAATAATTTCTGTAAAGTACTCTTCAAACCATTCAACTTTTATTCAAAATATTTTTTTCTATCTCTTATAGTTTTAATTATATTCCCTTCGAATAAAAGAATCTGATTTTTTCAAAGGAATATTTCACCCCCTAAACATGCGAAAGGGTACACATAATAAAAAATGTATGTATTATTTTAATCTAAAGTACAACATACTACAAGTTCATGAAAATCGGAGACGGACACTTGTGTGAGTTTCCGCGTTAGTACAGAACAGAACTAAGAAATTATGAATATGGGCTATGCTAATTCCTGGCTTTACTCGCTACTATAGTAAAAGTATATAAATGCTTGCTATATATATCTAGCTATATATATCGTTGCATGAACGAAAATCATAACGTCATTTTCAGAAAACCAAAAGAATTATAGCCAATGTACCGCTGGCTTTATTGTTACGTTCTAAGCTGCGTTCCGAAAGAAGGGCACCAAACCTCCATAGGCGTTTCGCCTAGATTTTTCGGAATGCTCGTTTGGACTTGATTTTTGGGTGTTCGTGCAGAACGCTCGCTTAGCTCTACGTCCCTATGGAGTTGGTGTGTTACAATTTTGTATATACAGGGTGTCCCGCGTAAGATGTGCCAAAAGAAAAATATAAATAGAACAGATAAAACTGAACAAAAATTGAAGATGTCATTTTTCAAACAAACACGTAAAATTTCGAGATATTAATAAAAATAAAAGTTGGACAAATTTGAGCGCGCGACGCGACAGGCAGGACATACGGCCGCCGCGGCCGGCGAAGAAAATGGACGAGCGCACACGTACACGTACGCACACACGGAGCTACCCATTTCCGTATGCCAAACAGCCTACCTCTCTGGCCTATAAGATAGGTCCGCGAGCTATCATCCATTTTTTTCGCCGGCCGTGGTGAGCCGTGTGTCCCGCTTGCCGCGTCGCCGCGCTCTGATATTTCCAACTATTTTAATTAATATCTCGAAATTTTGTTGTTTGTTTGAAAAATGACCTCTACAATTTTTGTTCACTTTTATCTG